AATCCTGTGCGTTACACCGGCGCCCTCAGCTGTCGGGGTTTTTTGAGTTCTTAGGCTTCGGAATGCTTAATGCCTCGAACGCCAGTGGTCGACGACATGGTGTGTTTAAGCAGCCCGTCCTCCAAACAAAGATCCAAAAGTGATTCCATCCACCCGCCAAACCCCCTGTTTATGAATGAAAAGCGCTTTACACACGACTCAAAACTGCTGACGTTCGAACATATCCAGAACAAGTGCTTCACTGACGAATTTTGTTCGAATCACAACGCTATAAATGCTTCACCCACGTACTACAAATACAAATAATCGCCAACAGAACTTAAACACCTAACCTAACCTATCCTATGCCTATATATGCACAATATGCTAATATATTATAATATTAATTTATACTTAAGAAAATTCCCGTTTTTAATGAACAGCATGTTAAAATTTATGAATGCGTCTGTGGGGTCGACCGCTGGATGTAATGGACTTGAGTCGAGGACGGGTTGGTTTAAGAGCTCTTTTGGCATCCCTATACCCGCTGCCTCAGGGCTCTAGTGGTCGTTGACACTGTTTTAGAGCACCCTGACTTAACCTGCGAGAAGGAAAAGGCGACTCTTCACGTGTTCATGTGACGGGCGACCTTGGAAATAGAAAACACAGTTAATCAGCCCTTGTCCACTGACGGGGAATATGTGGCTTAAATATATGTGTATGTGTGTGTCGGCCGTTCAGGTGTTGTGTTGTTGGTGGCTTGGCCTCCAGGGGTGTGTGGTTGTTGGTGATGTGAAGGTCGAGGGTGAGTCCGTTGATGTAGCCACCGTCGGGGGATGAGTCCGTTGATGTGGCGACCGTCGGGGGTGAGTCTGTTGATGTGGCGACCGTCGGGGGGTGAGTCCGTTGATGTGGTGACCGTCGGGGGGTGAGTCTGTTGATGTGGTGACCGTCGGGGGTGAGTCTGTTGATGTGGTGACCGTCGGAGGGTGAGTTGTTGATGTGGTGACCGTCGGGGGGTGAGTCTGTTGATGTGGTGACCGTCGGGGGGTGAGTCTGTTGATGTGGTGACCGTCGGAGGGTGAGTCCGTTGATGTGGTGACCGTCGGGGGGTGAGTCTGTTGATGTGGTGACCGTCGGGGGTGAGTCTGTTGATGTGGCGACCGTCGGGGGTGAGTCTGTTGATGTGACGACCATCGGGGGCAGGTTCTTTTTTGGATAAGACCGTCGGAGACAATTCCATCGGGATACAGCCATTTTGGAGGGGGTCAGTAGGGCATAATGCTGTCAAAAATGAAGTCCGTTAGAGATCTTGTCAACGGGGAAGAAGACATTGGATAACTGGTCGTCAAGAAAGTGGCGGCCGAAGATGCGGTCGTCGGAAAGGTGGCGGCCGAAGATGCGGTCGTCGGAAAGGTGGCGGCCGAAGATGCGGTCGTCGGAAAGATGGCGGCCGAAGATGCGGTCGTCGGAAAGATGGCGGCCGAAGATGCGGTCGTCGGAAAGGTGGCCGCCGAAGATGCGGTCGTCGGAAAGGTGGCCGCCGAAGATGCGGTCGTCGGTGGATTTCGCTATCGCCTGGAATTTGTGCATGTTGGATCTTTTCACACAAGGTATGTGTGACCTGTGTACATGGGCTCTAGGGGGGATTTAATACACTCACATGTATGTGTCTGGTATGAAGCTCCCCCCACATAGAGCATACTTCTACATATGGCAAGACGTACACATATGTATGTGATTAGGCGTCATGCATTTACGTAAAACATACGCACATGCATGCATGTATATTGACGTACATAAACACAGACGTGTACATAAACTGACGTGTATGAATGTGAACCATTTATATGATCGTCCTTCCTATAATTTACAATTAAATAGTTGTAGATCGCTCTCGTATTGTGAAACACAGTTTAGATTGGTATATGCGTTACGTATGATATCGTATATGCGTGCGTATGATATCTTCCAATTTATGGACGATATCAATGTCTCAGCACTACTGTGAAAGTATGCGAGAAAATACTATGAAAGCATAAGCAGTTTTGTGCTATTTATGACCAGTGGGGCAGGCTTTTCGCTCCTCTCAGGTCTGGTCTGAGCGCTTCCCTGACACCAAGTGTCCAGAAGAGCTGGTAGAGCCGAGCTTCATCTCCCGGGCCCCGGCTTTTCCAACTGTGGGTCGTCTCTTGCAATGACTCCTGAGTTCTGTGTTACTTTTGTCACATCTGCTTTTAAAGTTGCTGTTGTTGTTGTGGTTTTAGATTTAGCTACTCGGAACAAAATTGTTCCGAGTAGCACGGGCTATGGTGAGCCCGTAATGGACTTACCTAGCACAGGAGCGGGGCTGTGCTAGAGTATTTCCTCACATCTCCGTGGCTCACCTCTGTGTCTGGCTTCCATTCTCGTCCTCTCGTTAACCTGGTAGATTCTCCCTCTTTTTATCGTTTCCTCTTAGTATTTTATATGTCTGTAACATGTCCTTCCTATTTCTTATATCTTCCAGTACCTTTATGGTTACCTTCTTTAGTTTGTTTTGGTAGATGAATCCCTTCAATTCTGGGACTAGAGTTGTATCGCAATTCTACATTCTCATTCTTTTCTTAATGTTTTATTTTTTTAGGTCTGGGCTCCACGCTGGTCTGGCATAGGTTGTTTAGGTCCTTGAAGGCTGTTTTGATGTTCGGTAGCTTAACATATGTTGTTTAAGCGATTCTATGTGATTTATTTAACTGAATTTACACCCCCATACCCTTTCCTGTGGATGATAGTGGATAAGGTTACAGAGGCACATAATGGGATCAGGCACTGAACCCCAGAATTCATTTAGTTAAGAAAGTCATAATCTTGAGAAGCTAGTTATACAGTATAACTTATGTATATAAGTTATGTATTTAATTAAATTAATTAATTAATTGGTTAAATACTTTATGTATTTAATGTATATAAGTGCATACAATGACTACTTAAGCAAAGTTTAGATATTTGGCTAAGATTTCTGGTAGTACATAATTTTTAATGAAATACTTATCCATTATTTGAACATTTGTTATTGAATTATTTCTAAATTCTGATTTGTTTTCACATTCAATTACATAGTGACGAAAGGTATGTAGATAGTTCTGCTGACGGAGTTTACATTTAGTCAGCTCTACTTCATCAGGTGGTGCAACCGGTCAGAGGTACTTGCAGCCGAGCCTAAGCCTACGCTAAGCCGAGCCTAAGCCAAGCTTACGCTAAGCCAAGCCTAAGCCGAGCCTAAGCCTACGCTAAGCTAAGCCTAAGTCGAGTCTACGCTAAGCCAAGCCTAAGCCGAGCCTAAGCCTACGCTAAGCCAAGCCTAAGCCGAGGTTAATCCTAACAATAGTAACGACTAGAAGTATGTTGATATTGGATGTCCCACAGATCTCTGGATCTTCATCTGTACAATAGGCTGATGATAGATGGAGAAAACTTGTGTCGGTTTCACTTTTTCTCAGGTCTATTACATTTTGTTGTCGTTCTCGGTATGTTCCTCAAGCTGCGCTAAAGCACTCCAAGATGGTAATCAACTCCCTCTCCAAGAGCACAAGCTTTGCTTAACTCATCAGTGCTGTCATTCATCCGGAGGGCAATATGGACTGGGATCCACAGGAGAGGGAATTATTAGGGGGAAAGCGCCAAGCCATTACGACAATATTGCACTTGGAAGGGATCAAGGTAACGATTTGGGATGGGACGGGGGAAGGAATTGTGCCGACCCACTTGGACGGTCGGGGATTGAACGCCGACCTGCATGAAGCGAGACCGTCGCTCTACCCTTCTACTGAAATGATAAAGACTCTGATTCCTTCGTTGATTATTGATCAGTGCTTTCTGACATGAACTCATCACTTTGATACTCCACGACCTGAGGAGGAAATAAGGCTGCTTCAGGAGTGTAAATAATGAGCTGAAGAAAGGCAAAGAGAAGCGAACCTTATCACACAGAAGGACACAAGGAGCATGTGATAACGACGGAGACGATTACAACAGGAATCGACATAATAAAGAAGCAATGTTCAGAATAACAACTAGTAAAACGAAGGGACAGAGCAAAATAAAGCAACAGATGAGCTATAGAGAGTGAGTTACTGCCGAAGAACTGTAAGGTACATGGAACAGGTTACAATGAAGTGTTGTTGGAGTAAACTCGGCTTTATGGTACGACGAGAAATGTGAAGAAATTCAGTCGTTATCGTTTTACGACTGATACCTCAAAAGTAGGAGCTTCGGAGCTGAATCTTCACTCTACAATTAAGTACGTAAAGATGAAAGCTGAATAATTGTGGAAAGAGGCAACGAACTACAGGAGTTGATACTAAGGACCATCCTGTTGCTAATATACATCAACAATCTGCCAGAGATAATTGGCTCCTTAACTTTTCTGTATACCTGGAGTGCCTTCTCAAACACCTTCAGTTTCCCATGACACAAGTGATTGATTAATTGATGAAGATTAAGCCACCCAAAAGGTGGCACGGGCATGAATAGCCCGTAAGTGGTGACCCTTTGGAGCCATTACCAGTATCATTAGCTGATACTGGAGATCTGTGGAGGTGCGACTGCACCTTACGGAGAGGTCGTGACCTCTGATGCCACAAGTGGGTGATGTTGTTATAGATTCAGCTACTCGGAACAAATTCCAAGTAGCACGGGTTATGGTGAGCCCGTAACTTACCTGGCACAGGAGCGGGGCAAGAAGCACGGGCTATGGTGAGCCCGTGGTGGATTTACCTGGCACAGGAGCGGTGCTGAATGTGAAGTGGGTGATGGGCAACTAAAACAGTGAATGAAACTAGAGGAGGACCTTGGGATAGACAAAGGCTAGAGATACCTTGGGATAGACAAAGGCTAGAGATACCTTGGGATAGACAAAGGCTAGAGATACCTTGGGATAGACAAAGACTAGGGATACCTTGGGACAGACAAAGGGACCGAGAAACGCTTCACAGATTCTTTGAAGAAGGGCTACAGAGAACAAGTAAAATTATAAAGATATGAAAAGAAGTTTCCAGGAGCTGAAGAGGATAAAGACTTCTTCAACTTCTCGAACCAAAGAAGAAAGTGAACCTGGGCATAGACACCAGAGGGAAAATAATAATATTCACCCCCCGGATGGCCTTCACAACACTGGACAAAGTAGGATCTTCCTGGTCGGTAAAGATAATGTTAGTAAAACCGATCATGCAGCCTCAACCGAATCTAGACAAGATTAAGACACACGGTCATTCCTCAGCTGTCAAGAGTTGTGGGAAGAGACTGAGGTCTGAGATAGACAAAGGCTAGAGATACCTTGGGATCTCTAGCCTTTCAAGTGAAATCTGTTCACTTGAGGCAAAGTGAGCCAACTTCACAGGAGTGAAAAAAGGGGGAACTGAGCGACATTATCTGTTTTAAGATCCTTCGAAGATTCAACAAGGAAGCATAAACAATGGTTGGGAATTAGAGACACAAATGAGCCATAGATGAGCCAAAGAAAACGTATTCAGGGGAAAAAAAGATAAAATAAATTGAACGGGTTACAAGTAGTATTGGAAGCCGGGAGGTATACAGCTATGAATGGAAATATTGCCGGTTTATCTGTTGATTACCTGTTGACAATTTCGAGAGTTCTTCTACTCCCACACACATTGGTGAATATATTACTTACTTATGTAACTAAAACACACACACACACACACTCACACACACACACACACATATATATACACTTACCGGACACATTGCAACAGGCCAGATGTAATTGTCCGGATGCAATTAAACTGTGACCTGAATAAAAAAAATAACAAAAAACATGGCATTCCAATCTGGCACCGCGAACGAGGCCTGTGAAGCACCAGGCGACATAGACATAATAGCCCTCACCAAACACAGAGTTGGTATATAACCCGCTCCCAGCGGCCGGCATCTTCATATAGCCACTGAGATTTAACCAATTTTAAATATACTCTCGTAAAATAGATATATATATATGTTCTTTTTCATTTTGTTTTTTGTGTGAACATATATCCGTTTTTTCCTATTCTACTGTGGATCATTTTCCGTTCTTTTTTGTGTTTAATATCTCCAGGAGGATAGGTGTTCACACCTCGGCACCGTCCCCTCGCTATCCCATAACGCGACGCTTATATCTGGATTTCAATTCAACGTAAGGAGAATTTAATGTCCTTGCAATTATCAAATAAATGTTCGTTTCCGGGCATAAAGAGGGCTTAACAGAGAAAGGTAATTATTTAGCAAGCTGGGATACGCACAATCAGTTAGATTGTCACGGGCCGAGGGTGGCCAGTTCCATAGAGTTTCATAGGTTTCAGTAACACTTCGTGGAATTGGAGGGGGAAACGGACCCAATGGGCGATCGCGTTTTGTTCCGGCCACGTTGTTTACTTCTGCGAGTTTTCAGCGTCTATAGATGAACCCCGTGTTGCGAAAATCCCTGATATCTAAAGCCGATATTTAGCAGATATATACGAATGAAGCTGTAAAATAAAGGTGGATACGGAGGGCGGCAGCTGCACCCGGGCCCCACCAAACTCCCAGGGGGGTCGTTCGCCTGTAAATGCGCAGCAACACATTCTGAAGCAGTGTCGGCCCGCTCCGTCCAATTGGTCTTTATCCTTCCCTGCTCTCTCTCTCTCTCTCTCTCTCTCTCTCTCTCTCTCTCTCTCTCTCTCTCTCTCTCTCTCTCTCTCTCTCATGCTCCTGTTGTCCCTATTTGACTGCCACGCATCTTGGGTGTCTATTATATTCATTTCTCTTTCTCTTTCCCTGTTTATCTCGATATCTCATATATATATATATATATATATATATATATATATATATATATATATATATATATATATATATATATATTAATGTTTGTATCGATCGTACTACTTGTAGAAAATACAGTTAATAACAGGAGGGCTCAAGACACACACAGAAAAAGATAATAAAAAACATGTAAAAGATATTAATTATTCTGCCCGCGGATAGTGCTATCTCTAAACACTGAAGCTAAGATTATCACCGCAGAGTACTAACACAATTAATAATTTAAGTCCGGAGTGAAAACTGTTAACGATACCCTTATCGCACTTCAGCCATGGAGAAGCAAGTAACGATACCCCCTCATTAGAGGTCATCAACACAGGAAACATTAAATATCAAAATATCCCCCCTAAAATGCTCATTAAAATTTTCCATCAGCAATTTAAACCATAACAGTGACTCGGGAAGTATTAGGAAGAAGAAGATAATAATAATATTAAGAAATATTAGGTAAGAAGCAGATGATAACATTCCAAACTGCAGTATTATCCTGCCTATATTGTCTTAGTACATCAAAGAATGCACTAAAGGGAATACAACTTCAAAACGAAGGCTTATCCATGCTATACAAGAGGAAGCTGGTGCATGAAATTCCTCCCAAAATAAAGCTTGACGCAGTGTTTAAAATGTGGAATAAAAGTTGTAAATACACAACCACGAAATTCTGACAACCACGAAAATTGAATGACCACAAAATTCGGACAACTACGAAATTCGAACGACTGCGACATTTTAACAACTTACAAATTTCGACAATCACGAGTTGGGATAATCCAGAAATTATAATCAAGGGATCATCTGATATAGAATTCAATTAGGTATAAGATTAATTGACTCAAGAGACGATAAATACAAACAGGAAATAGGAACAATTACAATATAGTAAAAATCTGTTCTATTTCAATTGCCCGAATAAGGAGGAAAATCTCTTCTGTATAGGTAAATGAATAACCTAATTATACCTATTTTAATGTTAGAGGTTAGTATTATATATTGCGATTTATTAAGTGAACTTGCGCACCATGAACCAATTGCAGTAATGAACCGTATATTGTCAGCAACACCCATGCCTACAGATAATGTATTTGTGTATACCGTGTATAAATTGGCTTAGAGGTTCTTGAAGATGCCACTCGACAGATGAGGTTAGAAAACACACTCCCACTTTCTTCGTCAGACAATAGTAAACTTTGAGACATTTAGAAGGTCAGAAATGTTTTCCTTCCCTTGAATTACTGAAGTAAACAATCTCCAGTTTCAGCAAAAATTTCTCATAGTAAGTTATATCTAAAGTTACTTGTTATCACACTTTTATATTTTTGTTTTAAACGAATGTTATATCAACAGGACATAACGTAATTTACAGTGTGATCAGTAGGAGTGATTATGATGGTTGCCCAGGGGCCAGATTCACGAAGCAGTACTTAAGTACAGTACAGTACGCAAGTACTTACGAACGTGTACATCTTCCTCAATCTTTGACGGCTTTGGTTACATTTATTAAACAGTTTGCAAACACGAAAACTTCCCATTCAAGGTTATTATTGTTATAAACAACCTGGAAGTGTTCAGAGCTTATATAATCTCTTTAACACATGTAAACAAAGCCACCATGATTGAGAACAGATGTACAGGTTTCGGAAGGGAACACTGAAATGCTTGATGGATTCTGGCTGCGGTGCCCCCTCCCCTTCGAAGCGAGGGTGGAGGCTTCAAAATGGCAATGGCATCCTGGACATCAGGAATCCCTTCCCTACCCACACCATCATGGCTTATAAAATACCCTTTTGTGGTGACCAGACTGCGTTTACGGGCTATTCATGCCCGTACCAGACTGGCGACTCACTCCTTTGGGCGAACAACTGCTTTAAACTTCCTTCGGTGAGAAAAAAATTATCAACTGGAGCTCTGAGGTGACTCGAACCTCCGACCGCAAGACCTCCCCCCCCCCAGACTAACTATAAGTCAGGGTGGTTAGTGTCAGTATAGCTGGGCGTCACACTTTGTCGAGGGTTCGAATCTCCTCAAGAGTTCCAGGTGGGGTTTTCTCATTGATATGTGTATCACGTTAGTGTGCTTCAAGTTGCTCGAGGAAAAGGGAAGTGTACATCTCAAGAGCCTAGAGTAACTTAGACTTGTGTGCTTTCTCTGTGGCGCGTCCCTTGTGTGTGTGTGTGTTCCACGGGACTCCTAATGAAGGTGTACACGTGTGTACAAGCCTTTGGAGACGTTGTGTTGCAATATGCTTCCTGTAGAGACAATGTGTACCTCTGATGGCCAACATATTCCACCTTGGAGACTTAGTTTCCTTTCATCAAAGAAAGTTTGGATAAAACACGCGTGTATAGAGGCAAACTTAGGTTCATAACTGAGAAACTACCTCACGACTGAGAAACTACCTCACGACTGAGAAACTACCTCACGACTGAGAAACTACTTCACGACTGAGAAACTACCTCATGACTGAGAAACTACCTCACGACTGAGAAACCACCTCACGACTGAGAAACTACTTCATGAGCACGATACAGCATCGAGCTATTAAACAACAACACGATCAAACAATGACAAACACAGCCCCCCTAAAAAAATCATTCCAGACCAAAAAAAAAAGACCTCATCACGAAGGAGAATGAATATAAATCCCCCTTAGACAACAGTAAAGAATAATCGTCTTTGAAATATAAATGGGATTAAATCCTATTCTCCACCCCACCCTTCCTACACCCTTTAGGCAGATTTACAAAAATATAAACCTTGCCCCCTGATAGAAGCGAGTTTGGGGGGGGGGGGTTGGGCAGGAGGTGTTTGCCTTAAATCCCCGTAACTCAGGTGAATAAACGGTAATTATTGAGATGTGACACCTGTCACGGAACGTCTTGGTGGCCGTTAGGGTGAGGAGTGTTACCTCTGTCAAGCACGTCTTGCCCCTCTATCGTTTCCCCACCTCCTTAAGGGGCCTCGTTTACCCCTGGTGTCAACAAGCTAATTTGACTAATCGAAAACCATTGATACTATCACTGCCTCTCAACAGCTGCCATTTACAACGGAACCTTTCCTCCTATCCTCTGAGACTCATGCATAAAAAACCCATCTGGCCGCTAAGAGGCTGTGACAGGCCTCTTTTGCCCACCTTTTCCCCCTCTTTTTCTTCATTGTTTTCCCGAGGGGAAAGTGGAAGGGGAGGGGAAAGGTAAGGGGGAGTGAGGGGTAATTAGCGATACTGGTGATTTCCACTTTTTTTTTTTTGTAGGGGTGATTCGAGGTAGTTTAGTGTTTTGGGGTGAGGAATACATGTGTGGGGGGGGGGGGAGTTTGCTTGGCAAAACTTTAGCTCCTGGGCCCCCGTCTTTACAACTAATGCGGTGGCTCTGGAGTCCTTTGTTACATACCTGTTTTTAATATTATGGAAGGTGGCGAACCCCTATTTAGTATTTTTCCTTCTTGTTCGTATACTCTGAAGTAGTGTTTCCTCAGACACCTGAGTGTTCTCTGTCATCAAGTTTAGTTCCATCAGTTTAACTCTGTAGCTCAGCCCCTTCTTATCTGGGCCCAGTTGTGTTAATCTCTGTTGTCAGTCGCCATTTGGCGTATTTTGAGGTGCGGGGGATTGGGGGGTTTTATGCTGGTACTGCATACTCTAGCACTGGTCTGATGTATGCTGCATACAGCGTTCCACCACCAGTGACCTAACACCCGTCACCAGTGACCTAACACCCGTCACCAGTGACCTAACACCCGCCACCAGTGACCTAACACCCGCCACCAGTGACCTAACACCCGTCACCAGTGACCTAACACCCGTCACCAGTGACCTAACACCCGTCACCAGTGACCTAACACCCGCCACCAGTGACCTAACACCCACCACCAGTGACCTAACACCCGCCACCAGTGACCTAACACCCGCCACCAGTGACCTAACACCCGCCACCAGTGACCTAACACCCACCACCAGTGACCTAACACCCGCCACCAGTGACCTATTACCCGCCACCAGTGACCTAACACCCACCACCAGTGACCTAACACCCGCCACCAGTGACCTAACACCCGCCACCAGTGACCTAACACCCGCCACCAGTGACCTAACACCCGCCACCAGTGACCTAAAGTCTGGTCCTCCATTGACCCGAACAAGTTTAGAAGCTGAATTAGAATCAGGGAAAAATAAGAGAGAGACGAAGTATGTTTTGTCTTTTTCATACATTTTAAAAATCCTGTCTTGCTTCATTTGCATACTCCAGACCTGGACGGTCTGACTCTGACTCTGACCACTGACCTGACTCTGGACTCTGACATCCACTGACTTTGACTTTGACTTTGACTGACAAACCACTGACTCCGGACGGACATCGAGAATGATTCACGACGCAGTAACATAAGAATGATACACATAAAGAATAATAGGTTCGAACCCTCAGGTGTTCACAGCCCTTGTGGATTTGTTCATTTGTTCATAAGAATGATACACAGAGCTATCATCATCGTCAATTTCTTATTGTTTTTTTCTGCTAATCAAAAACTGACTTTTGAGTTTGACAGTTAGAAATATACTTTTTTTCCAAACAGCTGTTTGTAGCAATATGGGAGAACTGTTTTCTTCTATAAAACACTATTGTGGATTGTTATCCATCAATGACGAGCAAGGTTTAAGCGGATATATAACTATTAATTAAACAAAGGAACATTTTTTTGGAAAAAAGGAGCCTTATGAGAGCTCTATACACCTACATCAGACCCACTCTTGATTATGCAGCCCCGGAATAGATTCCCTCACATGACAAAAAGAAGAATTAGATATATGCAACAAGGTACGTTCTTTGACTGAGGGGAGGATATCTTGAGGTTATCTTGAGATAATTTCGGGGCTTTTAGTGTCCCCGCGGCCCGGTCCTCGACCAGGCCTCCACCCCAAGGAAGCAGCCCGTGACAGTTGACTAACACCCAGGTACCTAATTTACTGCTAGGTAACAGGGGCATAGGGTGAAAGAAACTCTGCCCATAGTTTCTCGCCGGCGCCTGGGATCGAACCAAGGACCACAGGATCACAAGTCCAGCGTGCTGTCCGCTCGGCCGACCGGGGAACACAGCAACGAGGAAGGACTGATGGCTATATACCTCATTACAGTTGAGGCGAGAACAAGGAGCAAATGAGTCACAGAGATCACACTAACGTGATGTATCAAATGAACAAAAATCCACAATTAAGTCGATTAAGGCAGTGTCTGGGATGCTACCGGACGCAGGTTCGAATCCTCGTCACGGCCCTTGTGGATTTGTTCGAATCACAGAGATGTTTAAAAGTTTGCACAAAGAATTTACTTCTGTGTAAGAGTTGTAAATCAGTGGACAGGTTTGTGACAAAGAATTAGTTGAAACTAACTCCTGATAATTATATAAATCAAGCACAGAGTCCTTGATTTCAGTTAGTAATGGGTCCAAGAGCTGACGCTCGACCCCAAATGCACATCTTAGTACGCACGCACGCACACATACACACCTGGAGGCCTCGCGTGGCTGAGTAGACAGCGCTCTGGAGTCGTAGTCCTAAGGGCCCGGGTTCGATCCCCCAGCAGAGGCGGAAACAAGTAAGCAGAGTTTCTTTCACTCTGGTACCCCTGTTCACCTAGCAGTAAATGGGTACCTTGGAGTTAGACAGCTGTTACGGGCTGTTTCCTGGGGATGTGTACGGGTGCAAGAGAGAAAAATATATGTAGTAGATAAAATAAGATGTAAAATAGATTGGTTAGAAAGGCAGCGTCCAAGAGCTAATAGCTCGATCCTGCAGGCACAATACAAACTAATACACACACTAGTAAATACACACACACACACACATACACACACACACACACACACACACACACACACACACACACACACACACACACACAGAACCTGTTCATCACAGGAAGTGATGTGGTGGAGGCTGACTCCATACACAGTTTCAAGTGTAGATATGATAGAGCCCAATAGGCTCAGGAATCTGTACACCTGTTGATTGACGGTTGAGAGGCGGGACCAAAGAGCCAGAGCTCAACCCCCACAAACACAACTAGGTGAGTACACACATACACAGGGGGAAGAAAGGCAGGAATTCAAGTCAACATCAGACGCTCTTTACATAAACATAACCCTCCTTTTCCACGAGAAATTTATCGCCCCTCTCAACCCTGGACAACCCCCCCCCCACCCCTTACTCCCTGACGACCCCCTTCCCCCCCTCAGGACGACCTTCCCACATCTCCCTCCCACCCCACACCCCCTCAACCCCCTTACCCACCCCACCAGAACACCAGCCGCCTAAACAACTCCAGAACTTCGTATAAACCCCCGAAGGTGAAAGAAAAAAAACGAAAGTTAGAATAACAGTAGTGGAGTAAGCTGGGCGGATACGGCCACAATGCTTCTTTAACAAGGTTCTTCTTGAGAAACGAGAAGAATGAACCCGGGACACACACACACACACACACACACACACACACACACACACACACACACACACACACACACACACACACACACACACACACACACACTTTTTAAAGTTCAGAGGTATGCCACTAGGCTAGTCCCAGAACTAAGAGGCATGAGTTACAAGAAAAGGCTGCGAGAAATGCACCTCACGACTCTGGAAGACAGAAGAGTAAGGGGAAACATGATCACTACCTACAAAATTCTCAAGAGATATTGATAAGGTAGATAAGGACAAACTGTTTTGCTGGGGCTGGGGAGGGGTTAGAAGAGATAATCTCTCTCTCTCTCTCTCTCTCTCTCTCTCTCTCTCTCTCTCTCTCTCTCTCTCTCTCTCTCTCTCTCTCTCTTGCTATCTATTTCGCCCTTTTTCGTAAATATGATACATCACATGAGGTGTTTTTCCTGCAGTTTTTTTCAGTACTAACAAATTGCCTTTAAAACGGGTTTGTTAATAATTCTTACTTACCATTAATAAACATTCCAACTTGTCCCCATACTTAATGAGCTGCAATCTGGACGCCATCGACCGCTACGTTAAAATTCCTGTGGTTTAATGGCATTTATTGCAACGCAATATTGACGCTTTATCCCATCGGCCTTGGCCCTGATAGGCTAGCTGGGAATTTGCCTATTAACGAGAGAGAGAGAGAGAGAGAGGGAGAGAGAGAGAGAGAGAGAGAGAGAGAGAGAGAGAGAGAGATGGGGAGGGGGGGGGGGACTAGAGCAGGGGAGAGCGTCTGGTGTCCGACCAGTCATATTCACTCGACCAGGAATACCAATTGTCGAATTGGCGACAAGGTGAGTGACTGTTGTCGACCACCCGTCACCCATACTCAGACTATACCCATACCCCTTTCCAACCCATCCCCCCACACTAACCCTATACACACACACACACACGCACACACACACACACACACACACACACACACACACACACACACACACACACACACACACACACACACTCACACACACACACACACGTATCTCTCGTCGTCGCACACGACACACACACACACACATCTACCTCAAACAATGGTTCACATGCCCATCATACGCCCTGGCCAATTGTACTTGTACTTGTACTTGTACAATTGGCCTTTTACGTCTATACACTTTCTCAGATTGCTGAATAACGTTCCTGTTGATTGTGAAACAGAAGTTGGCAAACCATCTTTTCCAAATAATTTGGGTATGGTGTGTTCAATTATATTATTCACCAAGTTCTATTTCAATGCTTTTTTAGATTCAAATATAAAATAAAGCTGACATAATAATGTTTCAAGTTTTGTATAAATATGTGAACGAGAGAGTTAAAGTCGTGATCTTTGGCATCATATGTTCTGATTATTACACGTATGAACACAATGAACACCTCAGAACACAATGAACACCTCAGGACACAATGAACACCTCAGGACACAATGAACACCTCAGGACACAATGAACACCTCAGGACACAATGAACACCTCAGAAGACAATTATCACCTCAAAACACAATGAACACCTCAGAACTTAATGATCACCTCCGGGGATTAGCGTCCCCGCGGCCCGGTCGTCAACCAGGCCTCCTGGTCGACGTTGTATCAACTACGATACAACCTACCTAGTTGTATCAACTAGGATACAATAACAAATTATCAAGAGGGGCCTGTCCTCCCACACTTACGACAAAGGAACAAGTAACAGCCTCTTTCTAGTGGCGAGAATAAGTATACATTTCAACGTCTCAGAAAACCTTTAACATTCAGGAACAGTAGTTTGCCAACTTTGCTTGAAAAACACGCTTTAACATGTGCATTTTCTGACAATAATGGATGTCAAGAGACAGGTGCGTGTCTCATAATTATAGTCAACTGACAGATGTCCCCCACAAATGTGTCCAAGTCGAGTAACAGATGTGTTATATAAACCTTTCCATGACACGTGTGTGTGTGTATATATATATATATAATATATATATATATATATATATATATATATATATATATATATATATATATATATATATATATGTATATGTAATATATACAAGCTTAACAGTAAATGAGTTGTGCACTCCTCATATTTGTTTGCCTCATATTTCTTCATGTATATGTTATACCTTTGAATTGTGTAAATAAAAATCTTGAACACGCTCTATGACAGACTCGGTAGCAGATATGATAAGGAAAATTCAAAAACTGTCTGCATATTGGGAGAAATTGACATGGTAGAATGGCAGATAATTCTTCTCTCCGTTTCGCTCTATTTCCAATCAATTACGGCACGATAAGAGTCCTGACTGAATCAGAACTTTTCATCGCTTAAAAAGACAGTCCATTTGTTGATTTTTCTTTGCGCCATTTCCATCTGTGTCAAGACTCTTGTCTCATTTATCGGCCAGCATCTTTTTCTCCCTTTCATCCATCCCTCCTTATTGGTGCATACTTCACTCTGCATACTTCCGGCAGGGCCCAGCACATGAGGGACTACCCTGATTACAAGTACCGCCCCCGCAGGAAGCCCAAGACCCTGAAAAAGGACGGCTACCCCTACAGCTTCCCGTACCTGCCGACGGCCCTCGATCCTCTCAGGTGAGTGGCGGCGTTTATAAGGCGTTTACCTGCGTGAGTACCGGAGGTTTGTGTGTGTTGGTGTTTGGCGTCAGGGGCCATCAACCTCTCGGGGGGGATATTATAAGGTCACCACAGTTTAGTTGCTTCAGCAAGAATATTTTAGTCTTGTATATGGGTTAGAGGTAATGTTCTCAGTGTATATTCAGTGAGAAGCTGTCTACACCTCTCTGTGTATGGGGACTGAGAAGCTGTCTACACCTCTCTGTGTATGGGGACTGAGAAGCTGTCTACACCTCTCTGTGTATGTACACTGAGAAGCTGTGTACACCTCTCTGTGTATGTACACTGAGAAGCTGTCTACACCTCTCTGTGTATGTACACTGAGAAGCTGTCTACACCTCTCTGTGTATGTACACTGAGAAGCTGTCTACACCTCTCTGTGTATGTACACTGAGAAGCTGTCTACACCTCTCTGTATATTCACTGAGAAGCTGTCTACACCTCTCTGTGTATATTCACTGAGAAGCTGTCTACACCTCTCTGTGTATATTCACTGAGAAGCTGTCTACACCTCTCAGTGTGTATATATATTGCGCGCCTTTGTGCATGACCCCATGATCTTATTTCACACTCACAATCCACCTTGCTTGTCTCAGCTCGTCCTCAAACAATACCATAAGGCTCAGCTGTGCTCAAACAATACCACAAGGCTCAGCTGTGCTCAAACAATACCATAAGGCTCAGCTGTGCTCAAACAATACCATAAGGCTCAGCTGTGCTCAAACAATACCATAAGGCTCAGCTGTGCTCAAGGTTTGTAAATTAAATATATTTCCCCCCTAACAGAAGATTATTTTCGAAGCTTCTATCGAAAACTGACTTTTATTATGCCTCACAAACGTAGTGTAAAAAACAAAACAAAAATCTGGATAAAGTAATAAAAAGTTCCTAACAGGATTTAACTTAGGTCTATGTGAAAATGATAATCTATTCAAATAATAATATGTATTTGAGAATGCATAGTTTTGTATGACACCGTATGAGAAATATTAGTGAGAACACCCTTGGGGAGGTCAGTTATATAGGGACCAACTACTCCCCCACGCCAACATAGAAGTCAAATTCTTAAATAGATTTTAATAAGTAAGCGACTTATTAAATCAAGACAATCACTTAAATCACCAGACAATCAACACAAGAGATGAATCTTTCACATGAAATAATAATAATAAATATAGAGCAATTTTCCAAATATAAATTAGTATTGTTATAAATTGTGGGTTTTTGCATAGCTATGCCTAGGTAAGGTTAGGTAAGGTGCCCGCGTTCCGGCAGTATTTACACTACAGGGTAAAAGTGAACGAGAAACTTGACCAGGCCACACACTAGAAGGTGAAGGGACGACGATGTTTCGGTCCGTCCTGGACCATTCTCAAGTGTATCGACTTGAGAATGGTCCAGGACGGACCGAAACGTCGTCGTCCCTTCACCTTCTAGTGTGTGGTCTGGTCAACTTACTTTAGCCACGCTATTGTGACTCATCGCCTGAACGAGAAACGTTTCGATTCATAGCTTCGAAAATAGTCAAGTGCGCCACAAGCCAAATACGCACTTATTTAGATTTTAATTAAAAGGGTATTTGACTTATTTGACGGACCTTTGTTTTGATAATGGGTTGAAGAAGCATTTCCTCCCAGTAGCCGTCCCCCTAAGGCTAATAAATCAAATTTGTAATAGCTAATTACATACAAAAAAAATTATTCTTGAAAAGTGCTCAAATCTTTCCCTGTTCGAAGCTAAGTGTCGAAACGACGAAAAAATTGCTTCACCCACGGACTGTAAACACATATAAACAGCCTAAACAAAACACCTAAACTAACCTAGACCTAGACCTAGCTGTACAAAACCATAATATATATAATAATCATAACTTGTATTGGAGATAATGCCGTTTTTTATTACACCGTTTGAGAAATATTAACGCATACGCCCTTGGGGACGACTACTGGATTGACGCCCCCGCCATGAGGACGGGTTGTCCGCTCATGACTGCCTTGAGCGAGCGTTGGGGCTCAGCCACACCCAGCCCTTACTTCCCTACGTCGTACCAGCAGTCCCTGACTCTAGGGTGAGTGTCGAGGCTCCCTGTTCCATGAACTACCCTCCGAGAGGGTAGGATAGACTCTATCCTACCCTAACTCTAAACTCTATACTGTTTAGGATAGAGTTCGGTTCCGTACAGGTGGGGTCGGGGCTCCCAGGAAGGTCGTGAAATGTTTGCCGGAGGGTCAGAGGGGACCTAAATTCTGAATCATATCTGAATCATCGGGAGTTTGCAATTGGTGAGTAAAGTGAGCAGGTAGGGCCGGATTCCCCAATAGGTCAGTTAGGCCACGAGCATTTTGTTTTTGTGTCATAAAAATGGACAAATACAATATAATACTTGGAGTGTTCAGTTACTTGATAACACTGATTATTTTTTGTTCGTGTAATCCCTCAACTGTTCACATTGTCGTGTATAGTACAGCTAAATGAGCCCATTCAGCTGTTTTGGCCGAGGGCCTAAAGACAGTTAGATCCGGTACCTGTCAAATCAGGCACTGTTTTAAAATGTGATTATTTCTAAATTCATTCTTTGAAATTGTTTCAATTGTGTGTGTGGCAGGGGATCACAGGCCTATTGAGTATTAGAAAATAGGGCCGTGGGTTCATACAGGTTGGGAACCTCCTCTTCTCTCACGAGTGAATCAACGGTTAAATCTTTTTCTTCAAATATCTCACTATTAGGCTGGTATCACAGTCTCTTCGTCTCACGAGGTGCCGCCAAGTGCGTTCCTCTCTCCCTTCTCTGACGAGTCCCTCCACTGTTACAACTCTTCTCCCAGTGCGCCTACTACCCCTCCACCACTATCACAACCACCACCACCACCACCACCACCAGTCCTTCCACCTTCCTTCCACAACCGCCAGCACCACCACCACAACCATTTCCTCCACCAACACCACCATTAACACCACTATCAATAAAACTACCAGAAACACACTACTACCAATACCACCACCGCCACCACCACTACCATCACTACCAGCCCCTTCACCAAAGCCCCATCACCACCATCACGAGCACCAACACCACCACTTGAATTTCAGATTATTCGTCAAAAGCCAAAAAAATAGTCATCTAGTGCATATGGTGTTTCAAGCTTGGTGAATGTTTATAACGACTTTCCTCAACTACTGAACGACCTATAAACTCCTCACGTGAAATCGAACTACAAAAATAAAATATCTCCGAAGCCACCAGCAGGACGCGGACACAAATAATGGAGTTTGGTGTTGAAAAAAAAATCCTGTAGAGGCTGACAGCTGATATCTAGGATCTGACATTCTGCATTTAACGTCACCCAACTGACATATAGCTGACGGAACACGGAGCATAGATGTCCATGGGCCGTCGCTACTTGCTGGCCCACCGCTATACTAACCGCGTGACTATCCCCCGCCCCTCTCTCTCTCGGGTGTTGGACGTCGGACACTGATGGATAGGGCGCTTGACGCCTGGATGTGCAGATAGCAGAGCTGGCTGGCCCACTGACTGACTGACTAATTAAAATCAGACTGGTGATAACATTGTGGAAGAGGTGCTCCAGCAGCCTTCCGATATTGACCACGATGCGGTGGTGGACAGACGGCTCCAGTGTCGCTCTCGGCTCTATGGCTGTCACTTGGCGAACGCTTTGTCTCTCTCTCTGTCTCTCTCTCTCTCTCTCTCTGTCTCTCTCTGTCTCTCTCTCTGTCTCTCTCTGTCTCTCTCTGTCTCTCTCTGTCTCTCTCTCTCTCTCTCTCTCTCTCTCTCTCTCTCTCTCTCTCTCTCTCTCTCTCTCTCTCTCTCTCTCAAACACACATAAAGTCACGCGCGTGTCCGCTGCCCCTCAACCACCATCTCCAGTGTCTAGGTATGACCAACTGCACGAATTCCTCACCCCAGACCTTATTTCCTCTTGCAGGGTCGGCGTTCGATCCCCCGATGATTCAAGTGATCATCGGCGGGATAATATCCGTTTTCAAAGCTCAGCTCTGTTGACCTGTGTTAGCTAGTAGGTCGTACTCGTGCCCCAGCTCCTAGTTTGTTCTCACACTGGTTTGTGACTGTGTCCTGGGGACTGGGAGGAGGCGATAGAGTCCAAGTTTCGTTTGATGGCAATGTCCGGGATGAGAATATGTAGAGAACACCGGAGGTGTTAGTTTAATCACACACACACTCTCTCAGTACTTTCACACTCTCTCAGTACTTTCACACTCTCTCAGTACTTTCACACTCTCTCAGTACTCTCACACTCTCTCCTCAATACTCTCACTCTCTCAGTGTGCTCATAAGGTATGCTGTTATTTTTTTAGATTTAGCTACTCGGAACGAAATGTTCCAAGTAGCACGGGCTATGGTGAGCCCGTGAGTCGTTTATAAGGACTCTCCCATGCTTTTGTAGAGTGGTGGTACAGTGGTACAGCTCTCGGCTTTGCATCGATTGACTGATTGATGAAGATTAAGCCACCCAAAAGGTGGCACGGACATGAATAGCCCGTAAGTGGTAGCCCTTTTGAGCCATTACCAGTATCATTAGCTGATACTGGAGATCTGTGGAGGTGCGACTGCACCCTGCGTGACGGGAGATGTCTCCCCCTTGGCTTTGCATCACGCGAGCGGAGGTTATATAGTCCTAGCAAGGGTATTTGGGATTTACGTGTATATATATATATATATATATATATATATATATATATATATATATATATATATATATATATATAATATATATACACAAAATATATATATATATATATATATATAATATATATACACAAAAAACAAAAACACAGATATACAACATATAAATACAGATAAACAAAGTATGAGATTTCTACAGATGATGCATGACATCTGACCTAACAGGGTTTACGTTCTTGTAAACAAAAAATTACTCTCTTTTCGTGTTTGCAAAAAAAATGAGGCAGAGCGT